CGAGGAGGGCGGTGGCTGGCAAGGAGGAAGGGAAATTAATCCGTTTCTGTGGGCTTGTTGGCAATGACAAGGACAAGCACCCGGCGCCCTTGTAAGTGGCCCTTCGTGCTCGATGGAGGCCTGGTGGCCACTAGCTTCGGCGCGCAAGTGGGGTGAGGCGTGGGACGGCTGGTGGTAATGACAACACTCTCATTTCAGTCTGTAGGCGTGCTTCCTAATGGGAAAAAATCCTTCTAAAGTGCTTTTAAAATTTGTTATATGTTCTGAAGTCAATACAGAGCATCGCAGTCTGTGAAACTGGATATTCAGAAGCTGAAAAGCATTTATAGAACAAAGAGGTGGATAGCACCTGGAAAGAAGTTGCCTTCCCATTTATCTCCTCCATGGGTGTCTGTCTCCCACTCTTACTTCTCAGTACAAGCGTATGCATATTTGCGTGCATGTAAAGGTTCTGCATAATGTCATGTTCCCCAAGCAAAGGGCGAGACCCTGCTTTTCAGAGGCAGTTGTGACTTTCCAGATTCTTGGGAAGGTTGGTTAGTAAAGATCAACTTTGAATTTTCCTTTTCAGGTTATATATAAATATATATGTATGTATATTTTTAATAAATAGTTCTTGTAATAAGTTTTGTTACATGTAGCTTGTCCCTGATACCTTGTGTAAATTACAACTTTGTTATACTGGAGTTGCCATACAAGGTAGTAATTTATATGGCCAACCCCACAATTGTACAGCTGCATCAACCTACATCTGTTCTTGGTTGAGAGAAGTAGCATTTACATGGTGGATATACATGACTATAGAGATCAGGTAGAATAGGAAAGAGACTTCAGTGCATATACTGGATTTTTTGACTGTGCTGCCTTAGCTAGGGAAAAACCAGTATGGTTTTTAGAGTCTTTGTTGAGAGAAAAGTGTTGTAAAAATGCGTGTAAAATATCTGGACTTGCACTTGTAAACTGTATTATACATATAGAGTAGGGAGGGTGTTGTTTATTTTCTAATTGCTACAAATACCATAAACAGGAATGCTAAAGTAGTTACAGTGGTGTAAATGTTCTTTACAGGAAGTATGTATAGAAGCAGGTAGGAAGAAGGCATCATGCTGACATCCTGTCCCAGGAAATTTATTTTGTACCTATTCTTGGGACAGTAAAATTCAGTTTTGCTTGCACTGCTGAGACATCTTGGATGTACAGTGGCCTGAGTAAACCATATGGTCATGACTTCCTGGAAGAGAACCTAATACACACTGTCCCAATTACAGCTGTTCGTGAAATGTAAGAGCAATATTAGATATCAGAGTTTCTGGTTCCTAATCTTCGTCTGGAGTAAGTGCACTGTCTATTGGCCAGAGTGATGATCAGCTAGACTAGCGAAAAGCTTAGGTTTTATATATTTATATTTATTGTCAAATGTTACAAATGGAAATAGGAAGCTGGTTTTATTCCTAGGATTATGCAATTTGTGCAATTTCTGTATTTTTGCTTTGGAGTGGGAGGGATATGCTAGTTGCCTGCCGTTTAGGATAAAGCTATGAGGTCATGATGAGTAATAAAGGCTGTGAACAATACTTACCTGAAGAAATGTAACCGGAACCCAGGATCACTTGGCTACCATTTGAGGCTGAAGAACAGTCTGTGACAAAGGCGGCTGCTTTGCTCTACCACTGGCACAGGGAGGGATGACAAGACTGGACAAAACTTGAATATCAGGTCAAATAGTGAACGCTTGGTAGGTTTGGACATCTTTTTTTTTCTTCTTCTTCTTCTTTTTCCAAACATGAAATATAAAAACATAATAGGATACATAAAAACATGATAGTACAAGGGGTAATGGTTTTAAACTAAAAGAGGGTAGATTTAGATTGGACATAAGGAAGAAATGTTTTACGCTGAGGGTGGTGAAGCACTGGAACAGGTTGCCCAGAGAGGTGGTAGATGCCCCATCCCTGGAAACGTTCAAGGTCAGGTTGGACGGGGCTCTGAGCAACCTGATCTAGTTGAAGATGTCCCTGCTCATTGCAGGGGGGGTTGGACTAGATGACCTTTGAAGATCCCTTCCAACCCAAACTGTTCTATGATTCTATAATGGCAGACCTCTTAACATCCCATAAATAGCTTAAAAATCCTGAAATTCAAAAACTGATTTGTGCCTTTTTATTGTTGAGGAGTTTGTTGGACAGCTTGGGGTATGTGTTCTCCATTTGTCTGCTCTTCTCAGAATCAAAGTGTGATCCTAAAATACATATATAACCAACTGTTTCTGAATTTGAGAAAAAACTCCTTATTCCCTGACAGAGCAAGAGTTGTCATTCCATCTTCATCTCTTCCCCATAACAAGACCGGATATGCAGCTGCTCTATTCAAATGCTTGCTTTATTCTCCCCAACAATCTCTTCCTTCAATTCACTCTCATCCCCTTTTTTTCTTCATTTTCTTTCCACTTCTTATTCTTTATGCTTCCTTTTTTGCATTGGCAATTTCCACTATAAATCTCAGGTTGCTTCTTGCAGTTTTTTCATTTTTTAAACCATTGCTTCCCGTATCATCCCTTAATAGAGTCATCTTTGTTCCTTCCTTCTGTTTCCATGATGTTCATTGCACTGTCTCACTCTGTCCTCTCTTACCTTCGCCTGGTAGTAGCTGCATTTGAGCCCAGAGAGAACTCTCCCCGAAACAGACTCACTTTCGTCAATGCAAAGTGAGGGAAAACGATTGCTACTAATTGAGATTCGACTGAGTTCAGCCTCACTGATACTAACTGGAGATGGCAGCCATTTTGAATTAAATAAAACTGCACATTTGAAGGCAAGTACAGAACTTAATGAAAATCACCAAAAACAATATAGGCTATTTAGGGCTTAAATTTGAGCCCTAAATTTGGCTATCAGATTTCTGTCAAAAGATCAACTTTTAAAACACTAAATTGTTTGATAACAAATTCATACAGATTTAAGCTTAATAAAGAAGTTGACAAGCAATTACTGTAAGAATAATATGGAGGTATATTAAATATTTATCTGACCATTTCAGCAAGGCCTGAAAAAGAGGCCGAATAATGAAGGAGCAGTACCTTAATACATTTCTTTTGATTTGACAACATTAAGACTGTTGGAATTATTCACTGTTTCCAACAAAACTAAGTAACCTGGCAATATGAAAGTATTCTATTTTGGCAAAACTACATTTTAACTGCTATGATAGTAATATGTAAAATTAAATTACAAGATCAGTTAGGCGTTTTTAATCTACTTGATTCCATATTTAAAGAGTCAAGGAGCCCTCAATTAAGCTAAAATGAAACAAATCTGAACTGAGAAAAATGTTTCTACAATAAAACTCTTTTTTTTCAGTAGCATAATGCTTCATTTTAATCTTCAAGCTAGTTGGAATATTCACTTTCTGGCAAAAAGATTAGTGTGGTTTGTTAGTCATAGTAGGGTTGAATTGCTTCATAATGAATTTCATAAAATAAAAATACACTCAATACAATGTTAATTGAATTAGCTAGGCTTATTTGGGCCTTTCTTACATTTGTTTCTTTGGAACTGGCCCAGGTCAAGAAATTCAGATACCAGATTGAATTAAGCTCTTGTATTCTGATACAGCTGTTGTTATTATCTTTTAACTTCCAGTTACGAAAGAGTTGGCTGGTAGAAACAAACAGTGTTTTTCTTCTAGTGGCTAGTTGATCAAAAACTGTCTTTATGTCCTGATTTTCTTTGGTTCTGGAGTGCTTCTCCATTTGTGAATATCGTAATGAGTGCTCTCCTTATGTTAATAATTGATCTACAAAGTGAAGCTGTCTTCTGGGAAGAACTGACAGCAAGGGTGCGGTCCCTTCCACATGAATCCTCAAATCATCTGAAAAGCAATAACGCAGAAGTAAATAGGGACATAAAGGAGGGGTATAGAACACCTAGAGCCAGCCCTGTGCTAGCTGGGATATTTCAACAAATGAGGTATTTTCAAGCACTGTAAGAAAGCAGTTTTCCTGCCCTTAATGATTCAGAGTAGCACAAACAGGTTATAGCAAGTGTTGAGAAACTCATTACAGCATTGATTTAAGGCAGGCAGACCATACAGTCCAACATAAACAGACTGTAGAAAGCAGAGACATCAGTGTTTTAACAACCCATTTTCAGCTGCCCTAATTTATCTTTCTCAGCTTTAGTCATCTCTTTTTCACCCATAAAGCTATGCACATTTCATCCTTTGAAAAATCAACCACTTCTGGTTTCAACTATGTAATTTCCATACAAGCATTAGTATTTGGTCCTGAATAATTAGTATTATGAATAATTACCCAGAATAAATATCCAGAATAATTCATGGACCAATACAAGACAGAACACGAGTGCCAGTAAATGAAATTCTGAAAACTTTACCCAAGCTACATTAATCATCAAAGTATTAATATCTTATGAGAGGAACTCCTGTCAGGCTGTGTATTGATGTGGAGATCGGAGATATGTGGATTGTGGGTAGTGGAAGGGAGGTAGTTGAAATGTGGAACCACAGTGTACAGAGTAGCTGGAATGTTAAATAGTAAAATTTGCACCTTCCTTTTTTTCTGAGTAGCTTATTTTTTGGTGGAATTTTCAGTGTAGTAACAGTAAATCAGTAATGAAAAAGTGGTAACTTGGAAATTGGAAACTATTCAAATAGCACAACTTTTTGCTTACGTGCTGATTTTGATTTTTGTACTCGACCTATTTGTGTTTGAGTTTCAGAATGTTTTTTGAAATTATGACGGGTGATTATTTAATATTTTCTTCAGCTAAGCAACATGACACAATCTCCTTTGTAATAGCTGTATATTTTATAGCTGGTATGAGCTTATAATTAATTTCTTAAACTAGAAGCCTGGAGTTTGGAAGGAAGTTTGGAAATACTGGAACTATTTCTTTGTCTAGCGATTGTTGTTCTGAATAGGTAGATATTTGATCTGGGCTTATAAATTAAACTGTTAAAAGGTCTTATTTAATTACTCATTTTCAGACCAATCTGACAGATATTTATTTTCTCAGAGCTGGTGATTCAGATTGCAGCAATTTTCCCTGGAAAGAGGGAGCGTGCACGCATCTTTTTTCCTTTCAAGCCCTCTTCCTTTCAGGATAGGCAGCAGTGAAATGCCATCTATAGGTAAGACTTCAAACCCCATGATTCCTTGGGAGAGCATGCGCTGAAAGCTTCCAGTTGTCAAAGTGCTCTTGCCAGAGTGGTCGACTATTTGTCATATACCAAACCTGAAAGAAGAAAATAAATATACTGTCATTTTGTTGATCTTTAAATACAGAAAATCCAAAGGTAACTGTTCCTTAAAAATTTCTGTGTTGACTGCGTGGGTTGCTGCATGCAAACGGAGCTGGTATTGCTATGGGGATATAGATTTCCTGTGCTGGATTGTAAATTTGTACAAATACTTACACCAGCAAATAATCAAGAGGTACTGCGTATTAGTCCAACATTAGACATTGGCTGGCCTGTCTTTCAAAGTCAATTATTATGCAGTGTTTTTCCATTCAGACTGGCTTCATTCATTAAAGGTAGGTCTTGACCTTGACAAGAGCGTTGAATTGTGCAGTGATTTTTACCTTTAAGAAGCAGCATGAAAATGAATGTGGATTACAGTCCTTAGGATAAAGTTCAAAAACAACTAGCTAAGTCAAGGTACATATTTGAAGCAACTGCTGTGCTTGCCACTATAGATAACCTGGTGGCTAACTGATTTAAATATACTTTATTGACAACAGAATTTTAACATTTCAGCTGCTGTTTTTCTCTCTAAACATATTTTTGTACTGAACCAGAGGAGGGATAAATATAATCTTCTTCTCTTTCTGATGTAGAATCATCAGTGATTTTATGTAGCCTTAGGAGTAATAGTGATTTTGATAGAAATGAAGCTAATGGAAAGCTACACAGAGCTTGGTATATTATGGCTTACTGCGGTATTGCTTTAAACTGCCTCGCAAGGTTTTCCAGCAGCAGCAGCAGCAGAGCTGCCTGTTACAGATGCAATAGTTTACTCCATTCTTCTTAGGAACTTGCCTTAATGTTGTCTCACTACACAGTCTGTTCATGAACCCTTGCTGTTCGGTTTACATATTGAACAGGTAAATAATAGGGAGCATAAGCAGTAACTTAATAGATAGCAGAAGCCTGTCCTGACATTCATTTTAACTAAAAAGTGTGTGTATGGCTCAGAAGAGATTTAAAAGAAAGAAAGGGAGAAACAAAAAATGCTAAAGATGCACATGGACCATCTGAAAACTGTTGATGTCAGAAAGGAGGGGGTCATCGATTTCACTCTTTGCCACCTTTCTTAAACAGTTAATGGATTTGGCTTAACTTTACTTTGTTACATTAAAAGAACAATCCTAAAAAATTGCAATCTTAGGAATGTACATGTCATATGATTAACTCAATAGAAATGCAATTAGGTATTCAGCGGTGACCATCTTTAACATAGTTACTCAATTAAAGTGATTTTTGGCTCATTTAAAATACTTTTGAGATTAAGAACAATCTCATCAGTTGACTGAAAGTCTGCAAAATGAGGAGGTTCCTGTTCTAGTTTCATACAATTGCTGTTCATTGATGTCTGTATATGCATTAGTACTACTCTGTTTCAAAATAATAATCAAATTATATGATCTGTCCTATTTCATATGAAGCAACATTTCTTGCAGATATGAGACTCAACCATTCTACGTACATTTACTTTTTAAAGTTTAAACTTATGGATTGATTTAGCAAATAATTTGCATCACTAGTCTTTGTCTTGTGCATATAAAGATGGCTTTTAAAATGTGGCATGTCCATATTTTAGATATTTCAATTTGCCCCATCTTTATTTTTCATTGTGAAAGCATCAGAAACATCATAGTCTAATAATACCTCCCAGATCCGCTCATTTTGACCTTATTTTTTTCTGATGAACAAATTACTGATAATTTTATACATAGAGAAATACAGCGAGTAGAAATACCTTTAAGCAAAGGACTGCTTTGATGTAAAACAGTGTTTTACACGGAAAGATCGTAAGGTCACTGAAGGCAAATACAACACCCGTCGGTGGCTTTGTACACGGAGTGTCTTCACACACACCCCTCCCGTCATTGCGATCGCTTCTCATGCCTTAAGCAAGCGGCGAGCCGTGCGGCAGAAAAAGGCCAGAAAACGATCGTGCAGCTAAGAACCGCTCCCGTGTCAGTGCGAGATTTCGTGTGTGCTTTCTCTCTGATAAATGTAAATAATTGAAAGCTTGTTTGTTAATTAAGGAAAATCGGTACCCGGCTCCTTTAAAGGTCCCCTAATAGAAAAGGGGGTGGAGAAGAGCGAAGACTGGTGTCTTTTTAACCTTGCTGAAGGACGCAGCAGTATTTATTGACGTATGCAAATAACTAGGGGGAGGAGGTGGAGGAGGAGGAGGGTGCTTGGAAAAACAGGAACCAGAATCAGTTTCTCATTGCAGGGTGAGAGCTCTGAGTTCCGGTGTAAGAGAAAAGAGACGTGGCGAAATTGCTGTATATCTCTGCCCTATAAGCATATCTCTCATTTAGACTGAAGGGAAACAAGGCATCAAAAAGGGTGAAGCATCTTAAGAAATATTTTAAAGGCAATCTAGCACGATCAAAGGTTACATATTCCTAAATGGGGGAGGGGGAAGATTACGGGTTTGCCTTGCAACTTGCTGTAGCATAGCACTGGCAATAGGATGAGATTTTTGGCCGGCAAATGATTAAAACAGCCTGGTTTGTGGTATGAATGACAATGTTAATAATCTGTCTTTGTGGTTTTTTCCCCTACTGTTTCAGCTGCGCAAACCATGCAGGATGATTTACTGATGGACAAAAGCAAAGCCCAGCCCCAGCAGCAGCGGCAGCAGCAGCAGCAGCAAGATCCAAACTCAGCAGAAGCCCCCTCTACACCCATCTCGTCGGAGACACCCAAACCAGAAGACAACAGTTCAGTGACTAGTATCGGCACATCGGCTCCTTCCCAAAATAGCAAGGAGAAGATGCAGATGGAGTCTCCCATTTTGCCTGGCTTGAGCTTTCACCAGCCTCAACAAGAACCTGCAGCCGGCACCTCCTTGTCTCCCTCCTTCGGCAGCACCTGGTCTACAGGGACCACAAACACAGTGGATGATAGCTTTTTCCAAGGGATTACTCCAGTCAATGGGACAATGCTTTTCCAGAATTTTCCACACCATGTCAACCCTGTATTTGGTGGCACTTTCTCGCCTCAAATTGGCCTAGCTCAGACTCAACACCACCAACATCAGCAGCAGCAGCAGCAAGCTCAGCAGCAGCAGCAGCAGCAGCAGCAGCGGAGGTCACCTGTAAGCCCTAATCAGGCACCTTTCGCCCAGAGAAATGCTGCTTACAGCCATCAGCCCATCATGACCAGCAAACCGTCTTCCTCCTCTGCCTCCTCTTCTTCCTCCTCCAGCTGGAATAACCATCAAAATGCAGCTTGGAGTACACCTTCCAACCCTTGGGGTGGGCTGCAGGCTGGTAGGGACCCTCGAAGGGCAGTTGGAGTGGGGGTCGGCGTGGGAGTGGGGGTCGGTGTACCCTCCCCCCTCAATCCCATTTCACCCCTTAAAAAACCGTTCTCCAGCAATGTCATTGCCCCTCCGAAGTTCCCACGGGCTGCACCCTTAACCCCCAAATCCTGGATGGAAGACAACGCGTTCAGGACGGACAATGGCAACAATCTGTTGCCTTTTCAGGTAAATGACTATATGCACCTTCTACGTGGTGACAGCTATCATAAAGTTGTATTTTTTTCAGGGGGGTGTTTCATGTTACTGTTCTATCTGAGAGGCATCTCCATAACTCATATTTGCATTGAATAGTCACCTTATATGAAAGAAGTGGGGTTGATCCTAGGGAGTGCATTCACAAAGATTCCAAATTCTGGTTTAAGGTTTGCAGTCTTATTTTTCTTGTAACTTATTCTTAAATGTGACAGGGCTTTCTGCGTTTTTTTGTTGGTTTTTTTTTTAGCATCCGAAAGGTAGTAGCCTTCCTTCATGAAAAACAGGTTTGGCAGACTACGTTCTCTTGGTGCTGTGTGTTATAATTTTTTTTCATATTCTCCCATATGTTAGAAACAGGAGACGTTGCTGGCTTCAGTTTTCTAACTGGCATGTTAATTTTAACCAAAGATGCTTCTTGACCTGAAATCCGGTTAATTATTTTATCACTATTGAAATAACTAATTGTCCTTGTGTTGTGGTGGGATTTAACGGGGAGTCTGTTCGCATAAGGTATATATATGAAAAGCTGTATACGCCTGATACGTACACCCTGCTGTTATATTCACAGTGGACGTTTTGAATACATCTAGAAG